GAAATTTTCTCTAATTATTTTTCTAGATTTAAATCATCCAAATAGCTGACTTAATTATTAATCTAGATTGCAACAATCATAATACTTATCATTTATGAGGATAATTTGAAATCAAAATAATTTCCATAACGATTATTTGTCTTGATGTTAATTATCCAAAATTAATTAATTCAATTATTAATCTAGATTTTTAATAAAAATCATAATAATTATTAATTAATTTCTTAGGATGATTTAAAATCAAAATAATCCCATAATAACTATCATACTAGTCGCTGAAGACATAATAGCTATTATGCTCATGCAATCATACAAGTTATGCAACAATATGGCACCACCTATTCTATATGGCATGTTATCGCAATAAAGCATGTTATCAATCATATAATTTATACCAATCAATAAAAGCATTAAATAATAAAATCTAATTACTTTAATCCATGACATTCCTATTTTAAAGAAAATAAAAAAAATGTTACAACTTTGGAATTCAACTTTCGCCTAGCCCACAGTATCTGTCTCAAGCCCCTTTAGGGTTTCATGGGCCCAAAAGCCCAAAGACCCAATCCTTTGGCGAGAAACCCTAGGACGTGAAAGAGGAACCCTAACCGTCAGGTCTGCCGCACCGTCACCCGAAGTCAAATCAGGCTGAAACTCTAGGGGAAGGACCGCCACGTAGAGACGAGTGCACCGCCGCCGGAACCACCCAAAAAGGTGGTCGGACGCTCCCTCACTCTCCCATTATTTTCCGGAGAGTGGCGGCCACTCTCATCCGCTTGTGGGGGCGCGTGGAGGAGCGTGAAGGCTCCAATGGCGGTGATCCACCCACCGTTGCGTTCGTCTTTCCGTCCTCTTTCCAACCATATATAGATAGTCCCGTTCCGAGATCGGGAAGTCCTCGAAAAGTCTCCGACAGTGATGACTGCGCATCTTCCTCGCGATTTCTCGATCTTGAACTTTTACAAAATATTGAAAAAATACACAGAAATTCCAAAAATAAACAAAAACAGCAAGGAGGAAACCTAATCATATGGGATTAGCCTCCTTGTTACAAATCGAGAAATACACGAGAGACCCTAACCATGGATTAAAGCATTTTTACCGATTAAAATTTAAACTTTTATGAAAATGAATTATAAAATACACATGCTAGATTCATACCATAATCCTAGAACCCTAGGTGCCACATTTCAAGAAGCAAAACTAATTACATGAATAGTGAAACTAGATTCACATACCAATGTACAACCAAGGCTCTGATACCAATTGTAGGAAATCTTATATTTATGCGGAAGCAGTTTAGGACCTAGTACATTGGTATGCTTACCGAATCATCCTTGTTTCACAATTACCTCTCGGTGCGCAGGTGTCGTGTAGAATCTTCCCTTGTAGGATTCCTCTTCACGAACAGCTGACCTCAGCGCCGCAGCACGAACAACCTCCTTGAAGCTGGACTGTGGCAGATCTTCCAGACTATCTCTCGAGGAGGATGAGATGGTTGTGTGGGCAACCGTTCAGATGATGAACGTCTGCCTCTTAGGTTTGTTTCTGATGATCTGATCACCTTGGAGGCACAAGAGGAGAAAACTATGAATATATACGCTTAGGTCTTAGACATAACTTAACCCTAAGCCTCATGGGCTCAAGTTTCACTGAAGCCCAATAGGACTTTAGTGACCAAAAGAGCATATATCCAACAGATTCAAAGTTACATAAAACTACATAGAAGTTGGAACTTTGTTAAGAGAATATTTATTTAGCAATTCTACATAAAACCTCATTCCTTTCTACCTAGAGAAGCCGAGTGCTGCTGGTACACTATACAAGGCCATTAACATATAACAACAACAACAATATCACCTTTATTTTGAATTAATTAAGGTTGAAAGTCAATAAATCTATACAAAAACAAGAATAAATTCAAAATACAAATAAGAAATAAGAAATGATATTTATATAGATAAATACATATATGTATAATAAAAAATCAATAGATAAAAACAGAGAAAGATTGAAAATTAATTTTTATAATTGTTTTCTTTTTAATGGACTTTTTTTTTAAATTTATGTTTAAGTGAAGATAGTTTGATGAAAAATCTTTCTTACAAAGAGCTTGAAACCCAATTCGCACTGATCAAAATTTTCATCGAGTCATGAGTGTAAACTCAATTCGCACTAATCGTGTGATGATAGTCTGCAAAGAAGATTGGGGTATTAAGAAGAAAAAAAAAAAAAACAATTTTGGCTAATGTCGCGCATACATTGTTCAAAATTGTCGCTAATTTTGCTTCTTTGTTATATGACTTCAAGCACATGATATCAAATATCAAAGGATTAGTAATACGCCACACTCATACCTGTCACGCTAAGTTACATCACAATGCAGTGATTTAAAGCTATGAAATATCAATTAACAATTAAATAATGCCGAGAATTTCAGATTGTTTCGGTCATCGCTATGAGTAAATGGTTCTTCTAAGAAGAAAAAAAGGATATAGAATCTACATCTTCCATGACTTCGAAAATGGTATTGGCCTTTATGAGTCAAGCCTATATATGAACTTAAAAGGAAGCAACTCCACTGATACAATTTAATAGATGTATTTTATTATTAAGAAAAAAATGAATGAATGAATTATATCTTTATAATAATTTTTCATCCAAAATGTTTAGCTAATTTTAAAATTATAATTGAGTTTCATAAATTACTTATTTTTTATTTTAGCATTATTTCAGTCACTTGAAATTTTATTTTTATACCGGTTACATTATTTTAACATTTTAATGCTATTGTTCCACAATTCTCAGCATATATATGTTATACAACAATAACACCCAATAAGAATCAAAAGATATGCTCACCAAAAAAGAATTAGAAGACAAAAATAAATAGGGTAATTTTCTTTTCATGAAAAACGAACCTGTATAATTTACGAACCAATTGAAATTATGAATCTCAAAGTTTAAACATTACTTGAAGAAAATTGATGATGTGTCAAGATCTTATTGGTTGTTTACATTTTTAAAATGGTGCACTCAGGGAACTTGGTCAAGTAACCTTGTCTCACACCAACGATGTGGTAGGGGCTTATTTGTAATTTTAAAACGTCGCACACAGCAATTGCAAGCGAGAGAATCATAATTATTATTTGTTTCCCCTACGTGCATTGAAAAAGATTCACTGTGCAAGCTACACCCATAACAGATTTTCGCTCCACAAATTTTCTCTCTCAGCCTTTTTCTTTCTCTGAAAACAAACGCAGCAAAGAATTATTATTTTTGTTTGTTCAAATCCAGATTCAGCCAAAAACCAAAAACGCCTCTTGCTTCTCTGAACGGTAATTCTTCAAATCTCAACCATCTTCGCTTAGGATTTTGTTTCCTTTCTTCGATAATAATCAAACCCTGTTCTTCGATCTTCTTCGCCGATTGTTTTGAGCACCATTGTTGAAGTGCTGATTTCTGCTCTGGAGCAGAGAAATCTCAGTTTGTTTAGCTAGCTACACTGTTTTCGGTTCAGTTCAGTGATTTCACAAGAAAATGAGTTTCGGTTTTTATATAGTTCATCTTTAAATTTCGAAGATGAAAATAAATCCGATTGATATTTCGGACACATTATTCATTTGCTCTTGCGTTTCTGAGAATCAACTAGTGTTTTCAGTCATTTTGCTGCTTCAAAAGTATCACACAAATTTGGCATTACATGGATCAGTGTTTGTCGATGATTCAGTACTAGTTTCATTCCCATTTTTGCAGGTTCAATTGAGTATTGATCAATGCCAAAAAATAAAAAAAATCGGTAAAACCAGACAAATCGACACTGCGTAGTCAAACACTGTGGAACCCTCAGCTTTGCATTAATTTCTCGTCATTGATCTCTCTCTTTCTCTCTCTCTCTCTTTGTACCTCTCTTTTTAATTCTTTACTATGTTAAGAACTTGATAGTTTCAAATTTACCGTATCCTTTTAGTATAAAGGGTACTTTATGTTTTGCTCTGATAGTTTGATATGCAGTGAAGCTTGCTTGTTCTTATTTTAATATGAAAGTTTATGTCTTAGCGTACTCGTTGATGCTTCTTTAATTTTGTGCTGAAATTAGTTACTGTCACTACGCACTCTTGCAGATCATGGAGGAAAGTCCGTGTGATTTCAACGCTGCTGCTGAAGAAGAAGATATGGTCTCTTTCTCTCTTACCGAATTTCACAGTAACACTGGCACAATTTAACACACACATACACGCGCCTCTTTCTGTTAAATACGTGAATTTGTTTCTAACGCGCCGCGACCCTTTCGCCTAATGAGAGTGAGCTTTTGGGATCCAGTGAGCATAACAAACGCCTAATGCACGCACGCATAGCAGCGTCACTTGGTCGTTGAGGATAAAAAGATATAGCTGTACCTGTACCTACCCATGAAGCGTTTGGGTGCTTTTGCACACGCACACACATCCACTTCTCGCATGCAAAGAAGTACTCATGATAACATTTAAAATTATTCTTAGAATAATTAATATGGTTAAGTGTATTATTTAAATTTGATATCTTTCAGCAACAATAGTGATTATTATTATTAATCTGATGGATATATGAGATAATGAGTTGGTTATTATGGTTTTGTAGGAGAGTTTGTACTTGGATAGGCAGGAACGGAGGGACGTCCACCTCAACGAGGACAGAATAAAAAAGAGCCCATGTTTGGACAAACATGTTCTGCTGTTTCCACCAACATCTGAATCAATTTGTACCTTAGGTAGCATACCTTTAATTGGCCATATTATAGCCTTTTGGCACCCCCTAATTTGCAACTCGAATATTTGTCTCTCTTTTTTTCCTTTTTCTTTTTGTTATTCAACGATGGCCTTCATTTTATTATAAATAAATAATTGCACCCGTTTTTGTTTTGCTTTGTATGGTTATTGGATACCCATTTGCTTTTACCTTACCCTATAATATCTTTTCCAATTTTCTAACCAAATGTGCCACTTTGGTAAAAATTGTCAATGAATATTGCAGAGGCTTCTTCGGGTCATTTTAAAGTGGGTCGATTTCATGAAATTGATCACTCCAAGCTTTCACCCAATTCCCCAGTTCAACTAAAATCTGTCCGCATTGTAATGGTATACATGCATCTATATAAAAGCAGCTCCTTTTTTTTTTTTTTTGTAAAAAAAAGCAGCTCCTTTAGTTCACCAATAACAAAAAAAGAGCTCCTTTTAAACATTGTATAGATATTTTTATTTTATTTTTTTGTTGATATCAGAAGATATTTTAAAATTTTCTCTTTGGTGGTTTTCATTACTGGATGTGGGAAATCATTAGGTCAGTGACAGAGGGGAACACGAGGTGTCGCTGAGGTACCCAAGCATCCAATCGCTCCGCACGCATTTCAGCGACCCAAACTTTGGGAAACCAAACGGAAAGAAGATCCCTGCACTCGACGAGAAGTACGTGATGGAGTTAGAATTCGCCGTCAATGCGCTTCGCAGGAGCATCGCAATCGAGGAATTTGCACAAAAAAGAAACTCGTGGTGCTTCTGGGTTTCTCCCTCTGAAGAAAACATTCAAAACGATGGAAACCCACTTTTCACTGATGCTGCAACTAGCCTGTTTTCCAAGCAAGGTTCATGCTGGTCTCAGCTCAAATTCACAGGGATGATGCAGTGGGGCCAACGCCGTCAAGTTCGGTTCCTTGGCCGTCATGAGGAGCGAAAGGTTGAATCTTTACCGAAACTTTATAAGGAAAAAGGGGTTAATGTTGAACACGGAGAAGGGACTAATGAGAAGAAGAGAAAAAAAGGTGAAGAAGAAACAGAAGCTGCCAAGGCACTGTCTTGTGGGGTAATGAGGATGACCCGTCAATGTATGAGAAATAATCAAAATGTGAGTAGTAGCAGTGGGGTTAAAAAATCTAAGAAAGCAAAGAATGATTCCAAGAAGCAGCAACTCGTTGTTTACAGCAAAAAAAAGCGAAAAATCTCAATTGACAGATGGTCTGCTGAAAGGTTAAATAATTATTTGTATAAAAATAATTAGCTAGCACAGTATAGAGTTCAGTTTTCTGCACGTTCCATTAGGTGCTAATTTTTTGTTGTTACCTCGAACATTTGAAGGTATAAGTTGGCAGAGGAGAACATGTTGAAGGTAATGAGGGCAAAAGGAGCTGTGTATGGAAACCCAATATTGAGGCCAGACTTGAGATCGGAAGCACGAAAGCATATTGGTGACACAGGTCTACTAGATCACTTGCTGAAGCATATGTCTGGAAAAGTGGCACCCGGAGGAGCTGAGAGATTCCGACGGCGACACAATGCGGAGGGCGCAATGGAATACTGGTTAGAGAGCGCTGATCTTGCTGATATTAGACGGGAAGCAGAGGTCCAAGACCCTTACTGGATTCCTCCCCCTGGATGGAAGCTTGGGGACAGCCTTTTACAAGATCACGTTACCAGTGGAGAACTCAGAGATATCAAGGAAGAAATACTTAAGTTGAAACAGTAAGGCCAACTTCTTTATTTATTATTTTATTCTTGATTTGAATGACATTATTGGTTATTGTACTGATTCTGAGTCATTATTGGTTAATCTTCCTGATATACAGAGATATGAGGGAGCTCGCATCAAAGAAGGGAGAGGAAGCATTGGCCATTGTGACTACTCCTAGTTCCTGTTTGTCGAGTTTGAATTGGGAGGACTCTGGTCCCTTGGTTCCAAAGCAGGTGAAGCTAATTACTAACGTGAATAATCTAGTTTGGGAGGTGACGTGACATATAGACAGCGCCCTATTTTAAATACTTGTATGGTAACATTGCAGGAGATTTATGCGGAGTTGGTGCATAAGAAGGCTAAAATTGAGGAACAACTGAAGGAAATTTCACTGATATTGAGCGGCATGGAGGTGACATAAGCATTACTTTGTATTTTATTCTGAGTTTTTGGTTTCAATGATTTTAATAGCAAAGAGTGCTGCAAATGATTGCCTTCTTTAAGAGGAATTAGCAAAGAGTGCTGCAAATGATTGCCTTCTTTAATCTATATTATTCCATTGTACCAAAGAGGAATTAGCAGAAGTCTACAAAATCCAATTATTATATGAAATCGCGCGTTGTTCTTACCTTTTTTAAATATTCACTGGGAATAAATAGTGAGGATTAATGAAAATTAATAACCAAATTATTCATTTCTAGCTAATGTGAATGGAATTTGCTTAACCCTGATGGAAGGCACTTGATGCAGGAGCAATTGAGGATGCTGAAACCAACAGTAGTAGAAGAACCAATAATGTCAGAGTCAGCAACACCACCAACGTTATTGCCAGGTCCAACATCTGTGGCAGAAGACACAGGAGGAGAGACAAGGAAGGAGAAGAAAGGTGGTACTAAGAAAAAAGCATCAAAATCAGCGGATACACAAATGCAAGAAAGCAGTACAGAAGAGGACAAGGCAGCAAAGATAGAAAGGCTGAAAAGTGGTTTCCAAATTTGCAAGCCACAAGGGACCTTTATATGGCCAAATATGGGTGTGTCTCCCCAGGTTGTGGCAAACCTTGATGATCACACTGTGGTCCCAATCCCTTCTTCAGCTTCAGCTTCAGCTTCTACCACCTCAGCTCCCAAACTCGTTGCCAAATCCCAGACTCAACACATACCATTGCCAACACCTAACCCTTCTTCCCCTGTTAAGCCACTTGCAGAGAGGCGTCCTGTGAGCACAGCTACTTTGACCCATGTCACTGGGCCCTTCCCCCCTAACCTTTCTCCACCATTAGAGACCCCAGGATCCAAAATCACCACCACCAACAACACTAAGAACGCCTCTTCTTTTAACCTCAACGAGGCCCCTCTGGCCCAAGACTAGTGCTATCTAAGTCCTGCTACATAATATATATTTCAAAGAAACCTCACCTTATTAGTGTCGGGTTAGTAACATTAGATTGAGCCAGCTTGGAAATATCGACAGTAAATTGGAGGTGGTCACGTTTTTACGGTTGGCATTAAATAATTGAAGTTGGATATCGCAAAGTATGTGCTAAGAAGTTGTAAGTCAAAGATTAAAATTAAAGAAGTCAAATGCTGATAAGTTTTGGATTGATGTTACGTACACATAAAATTTCTCATAAATTTTACACAATTTTATAAAGATTGTTTACTTTTTTTCTTTTCCCTTTTTTACTCTGACTTTGTTCTCCCCATCCAATGACTTTTACGCGTACCTTATCATATATTTGTGACAAGACTTCACCGTTAAAATATAAAGCTAAAAATATTTTAAGATGGATTTTCTCCTATGATATCTCATATGGGAGGTTATGTGAAAGAATTTTAGTTGTATAGATACAAATTAAAGATGATAAGAAAATGATCAAGATTAATAATAAGAAAAAAAAACTGATAATTTATATTCGAATAGTTAAGATTTTTTTCACGTTATCTGATGCCATGTGAGAAAATTAATTCCCAAAATATTTCAATTACTATTTTATATGTAATCCATTATCTATATATTAAATTTATGTTCTCAATTGCAGTGCACATATTTTCTTTCCATATTACCTTTTATCTTCTCTAGAAGACAAATCTATAAGAAAAAGTATAGTATTTAAATGGCGGTAAGAATATTGTCTTATCCAATATTACTTTTGTTTCATAGAGATAGCAAAGCGAGTCAATATATTAAAATGGAGGCAGGATTGGTTGGCGTATTTAAAAAATGGGTTGAAAATATTAACTTATAACGCTTTATGATGGGTTGTTGGATCGTTTAAATAATAATAAAAATTGAAAATTGAAAAAGAAATATTATTTTAAGAAAAAATTTAGTGTTATCTAATTAAATCACATGTTCTCATTTTTTTTTTCAATTCCAAACCCTAAATATATTTTAATACATTGTCTAGTCGTTTTTAGGAATTCATTTTTCTCTCAATATATAACCCAATTTAATACTCCTCTATGATGTTATAAAAATCAAACCGGTGATTGACCTGATTGGTGTACTGGGTCAATGGATACTGATTCAATCGATAGATCACGGGTTGAACCACTTGATTTAAATTTATATGAAACTATATAATAGATATAATAGTTGTAATATAGCATCTCAAATGAGCCATTGGCATAGCGATTGTTATCTCCTATTTCATGCAATATGATATGGGTACAAGATGGATATTGACATTATAAATTTAGTTTCCTAAATTCAATCTTTCAATAATAAAAAATGATATTAATTTGATTTAGTATTTATTAGAAGTTAAATTGATTTAATTCTCTTATGATATAAAATAACATCAGTTTAACCCCACATGATTGAATGATTAAAATAATGTCATTATTTGTCAGGGATCAAAGCAATATCAACCTAATTTTTTAAGAACCAAATAAATATTTACCTTTTTTTCTTAAAAAGTTTCTCCATGTCGTAAAACTTCTTTCAGAATGTATACTTTAAAAATTTACAACAATTTATGTTTTCTTATAGTGCTTCATTTTTGTTTTTGTTTTTTGAAAAACTCATCTAAACATTTAAAAAGTGGATTTAATGTTTCTACATTAAATGTAAATAAGTTATTTACATTCGTTCTCAAAACGACATCGTTTTGAGTTGAAAAATTTAAAAATTATAATAAAAAAGACTATTATAACCCTGAAATAAATTATAATTACAAAAATACTTTAATTTTCGCCTCAAAATGACGTCATTTTGGGCTCAATGTAGATAACTTATCTACATTGACGGTAGAAAAAGTGAACCCTTAAAAAATAATATTTTTTTTAATAATAAAACATAATGCATTCCTAGCTATATATATATATATATATAGAGGTAGGATCCTTTGACACCAGTATAGATATATATATATATATATATATATATATATATATATATATATATATATATATATATGAGGTAGGATCATTTGACACCGGTGTCAAATTTCAAATTTGACACCTCATCTAAGAGCCATTAGATAAAAAAACATCAACGACTCTGATTTGCAAGCATATGACACCATTGATCTTTTTTTATCTAAAGGTTATCAGATGAGGTGTCAAATTTGAAATTTGACTGGTGTCAAATGATCCTACCCTCCTTGCCTATATATATATATATATATATATATATATATATATATATATATATATATATATATATATATATATATATATATATATAAGGTAATTATGTAAATGGCAATTTTTAGGGGATAAAAAGTTTATCTTGAAGTTGGGGGAGAACATGCATACCGCTTGCGAATAGGTACTATATTTACCCTTTTATGTTTATTATTAATTTTTTTTACGTAAATGCCAAAATCATATTTCTCCATTAAAAAGAATAATTTAGTACTAGAAAGTGTATCACTTCATTTTTTATATTAAATAAACGGGAAATTACTGATAAAATTTTTACTTAACTAGTAAGGGTGAATTTTGAAAATAACCCTTCATTAGTATTACCATTGTTTTTTAAAGTCAGATTGGATTGGTCAATTAGATTATTGAGAGTTCTTTGGTTCTCAAGTGTATATGCAAATTTAGAAGTGGAGAATACACATACAAATAAAGAAAAGTATATCATTCCCTTGAGAAAAATCAAAGAGTGTATTTTAATGATGATTTTCCCGCATTTGCAGAGCAAGTGTAATTTCTATAAATTAGGGTGACTACATTGTATTTTGAATTGCATAAAAGAAATAACAGAATTATAACAATAACTTCGGTTCCACACTGTAACACACCGCCGACTGCCGGTATGTTAACTAACATTATGGTAATAAAAGTACATGTTAATCAATTAAATTAACGAAAGACTTAATTAAAAGTATCAGTGTAGCTTACCATCAACTAAGTGACTTACTTTTTTTTTTCTTTCATATAATTGTCTTACTTCATTTATTATTTTAGATTCAATTATATCCAACCCTATAACCGTACAAAATCTTTACTTGACAACACGACCATAAATAATTCATATGTTTCTGTCCACATATATTTAAAACTACATAATACATGTTTTACAATATTTATCTAAGGTTGCTAAGTAGTCCCCATAAACTAACAAAGCTTATTTTCACATTCTACACTTTCTAATTCAGAGTTATCCTCAGTTTTATAAAACATGAGAACAGACTGTATGTCTATAAATTCTCATATTTTAGTATGTTAAACTAGAGTCTCTAAGCTTTCCAACGAGGTACATAAGCCTAATTTGGAGTTGTATAACCTCAGATATTTCTGCTGTTATTTGGACAAATCCAGGGATCGCGATCCCACTTAAAACAAAACACCTGATAGATAATATGTCTAATTCTATTTTAATATATAAACATACATCACAAATTGGCTTTGTGCCATTACTATTAATATTACACATTATTCATGTTATACCAAAATATATATACAGAGAGTTCCCAATACAAGCATCTATTCGTCTAACTGCTCCATGCAATGCTCTAATCCCCACGTACAGACTTCTTGCCTAGGGATCTTTCATCAACATTGGAGGTACCTGAAATCAATGTTTTAAAACCCCGTCCCACCCCCCGGGTTGACCCCTCTCCTATGAGGGTTGGGGTCACAAGTTGAACCCTATATGCATATCGACCCCTCCGACCCCCAAAACCCGATCAGATTTCAGTGACTCCCGAGTCTGAGGGGTCAAAGGGGGTCATTGCATATTTTTTTTTTTAGAAAAAATCCTATGAAACAACATTGTTTTATTAAAAAAATAAATAAAAATGCTTGCAAACCTAAATCTAATTGTTCTATTCTATCGTAGCGACCTAAATGTTTTCAATCTTCATTTTACTGCCGTGAATCTTCTAGAAAATGTAAGAATTTTACCCCTTCAAATAAAATCTTTACGATTGTCGATAGAAAACAAAAATTCATTCTTACTTCCTTTAAATTTTCCTTTGTCAGAGACCTTCTCAAAAGAGGCAGAACTGGGTCAGTGTAGTGACCTCATTAGAATATGAGTTTTGTACTTTGATATCTTGATACTTTAATTAGATTGTATAATATTGACTTGCGGTTGTAATTGGTGAATTATGTTAAGTATATTTTGAATCTTTGATGATTGGTGATTTGTTTTTTAATATTTGCATATAAGATATATCTATTTATATTTTTTTAATATATAAAACTAGGTCAGCGTAGTGACCCCCTGACCCTCCGATTGAACTCGTGACCCCTGACCCCAGCCGGGTCGATGGCCAGGCCGAATTTTTAAACACTGCCTGAAATATATTCCCCAAATGGGGTGAGATTCAACTATCTCAGTAAGTTCGGAGTCTATGGAGAAATCTCCAACCACGAGCTCACTTTCTGCATGACATGTTATATACTAAACATAGACAACACCATATATTCACATGTCATATACAATATAGTTATATAATACACACAATCACACGATCATACTTATACATATTTTAATATTTAATTAATGATAATTTAGAATCTCTTCAATTATTCATATTATTTCAGAAACTCATATCAACCACATTTAATCCGCAAAATTGCATTTAACATAACTGAAAGTATTACATACTATATTTAAATCTTTACACAAACAGTCCACATTATATATATATTATTCTTGTGAACCAAAATCTTTCTAGAGTAACCGAAACCAACCAAAAACCAATGCATTCACAATATTAACTAATTATAATAGAACAAAGCCACCTGAAGACCGGATGCGCACATGTCATATAATAGGAACTAGAGCCAATCGAAGACCAGATGCACTCGTAGCATACAACCAAAGGTTCATTGGCTATGTACACATATATATATATATATAGGGTTTATCATCTATCATTTAATATGACCACATAAATTTTCCTACAC